TAACCTTGGCTCTTATGCCTGCTTCATTGTCTTTGGGTCTCTCAGCAGGGGACCCACCTCCACCCCCACCTGCCACGCTGCTTTCATATCCAGCTTTGCAGGTGTTGGTGGTGTTTTCCAAGTCTGTCTCTCACTCACTGGGAAAAGGAAGTGTGTGGAAAGTTCATCCACCAGCTTTGGAGTAGACAAATTTTTCATTGTTTCAAAACTTCACTAGAGCCTGTGGTCAGTGATTTCCTCCTTCCTGGTTTATGGACCACAAGAGGGATTTAATATCCTAAGCAATGTGAGAAAGTCAAGAAAGACATATTCTAGGTGAGTTACGTGGGAATAGTCAGTTGTACTAGGTTACAGACTTAGCCATCTAAAAATCAAAGGCCCTCGAATCTGGAATTCAGAGAATAAGAGGCTCCTGATTAAAGGCAGATAGACTCAGAAGTCGTTTCTGTTTTGTTTCCCTTTGTTTTTTTTTGTTTTTCTTTTTGTTTTTTATACCAACTCCACACAAGGAATGTAAAAATTAAGAAGTTTTATATACTTATTTTTTGCCGAAAATTTGGAGGACTCATATCTAAATCTACACATAATCTCAACTACTTTCTAATTTGGTTTCCCTTTTATTTGAAAAAATCATATGGTCTTCCTTGCATCTTATCTGAAGGAGCTGCAGGAAATCAGGGAGAAACTCAGATTTAACTCTCCCCTCAGCCAGCTGCTGCCACTGGCCCAGTCTTGCATCAGATTCACTGAGGGGGTGACTTCAGTTGAAAATAGAACTCGGTTTTAATCTTTGCCAGTTGCTCGCAGTTCACACAGGCTGCATTCCCTCTCTTATACTACTGGAGCCTACTCTACTCTACTACCTTTTTTATTTTATTTATCCTTGCCTAAGGGAGCCTGGAAGAGAGTAGATGGTTAATGGGAGGACTGGTTGTTATTTTATCTACCCACCATTGCTAAATCATAACATGAGCTAAAACTGTACTTTCCTTATTAAATTCTCCTGGGCTTATATAAATAAAATAATTGTCCTCCAGGGAGAACAGAAATACACAAAGATAAGCCCTTTCACTTCCTTATGTTCATATTGCTCCTGTTTGGAGCAGTTGTGAGAACTGGGGAATTTGTGTTTTCATTCAGGAAACCCTCACGGAGCATCTGTGATGTGCAGACACCGGCTGGAGGCAGTGTAAAGAGGGCTGAATGGTCTGTGAGCTCATGGGATTTCCAGTGCAGCGGCTGAGACAATGTCAACAAGAGATTGTCAGGTGCGTGGAGGGATCGTCATGTTTATGGGAACCACTGACATGGAATTTACAGCCAGGCCAAATTTTATCATAAATACTTCAACAGTCTCTAAGGTCAAAGTGGGTGGAAGCAATGGTTAAGGTGGAGCTTATATTTTTGAAACCAGAACTTTAAGAAAAATCAATGTTATGAAAAGGAACACTGTAAGAATAAGAATATAGTAGTGACAACATAATACTTGTTTTTCCAGTTAAGCCACTTTCTTCAAATCACTCTGGCTTTTAAAGAGTCACAAGTCCATGAAAATCATTTAGCAAAATAATAAAGGAGCTCTGAGGAAAAAAGAAAATTTTCACTATATTATCATACCACCTATTCAGGATTTCTGAACTTTTTTTTCCCCCAGTCACTTGTCTTAGTGGCTTGATATAAATCTAATTTTCCCCAAGGAATAATTATATGTGCATCCATCGTATAATCTATCACACAGTGAATTCTCTTTCTGCTAAATGTTATTATTTTCTGTGATCTTTACTTGGAATGAAGAAAATCTTATTAAAAATAATATATAATCACTGTCACTCAAAAGATATCTTTTACTGTAAACACATAGTAATAGTAGTAAAAATACCTAAATCTTTCCAACTAAATCTAACAAAGGAAATAGGTGCATACATATGTTTATTGTATAAATTCAACAGAGGAAGAAGTGGTGTTATGGTTTGTGTCTGTGTGTCCCCCCAGAGCCTCATGCAGTCATGGGGTAGGCTTTTAGAGTTTGATTGATTATGGGTGTGAGAGCTACACCGCCCTGGGGTGGGCAGTTTGCATATGTAAAGGAGAGGAAGAGGCTGTTTGTGGCCATTCCTCCCTTTTAGTGCTTGTTGCTTTTGCTGTGTTCTGCTGCCATGAGCTGTAGCCCTCTGCCATGTGCCACTCTGCCTTGTAACCTGCCAAGTATGGACTGAAACCTCCACAAACTTTAAGCGAAATAAACCTTTCCTTCCTTCATTTTGGGCCTCAGGTATTTTGTCCCACAACGAGAGAAAAGTAACCAAGACAAGTGGATACAAGTAATTATCTGTATCTGATTTTTTTCTTTCATATTAAAAACAGACTAACCTTAGATTCCCCAAACCCTTAATAAATACCTGTTTGCACACTAGCCATTTCCCCCAAACCTGTCCTTCATATTCCAAACTATACTGATTTAGCACTAGAAATGGAACGCAATGCTCTGTGTAGATCAATAGTCATAAATGTGACTTGAACTATTTGGTATAAAATAGGAAGCTTCTATAATGAGGAAAAAAACCAGCTAGAAGAGGTCTACAGTGTTGAGACAACTTTATTTTTCAGTTGGTAAGCTTTTAAGAACAAACGTTTTCGCAACCCAGATGGAAGGAAGTGTGATGTAGGAGACAGGTTATAGGAGGCAAAAACTATACTTACCCAGCAGCTCCAGTGTGCCCGGCACCACCCTTGGCATCTTCCTAAGGACCTGTGCTTTCATTTTGCTGTTGAGGAAGCTAAAACTAGCTCAGTGAGGTTATCAATACTTTCTGAAGTCATTTGGCTATGGTAGGGGAAGGTGCTGGAAGGTGTAGCTTTGTTGCATTTCAACACCTATGAGTACCCTACAGCCAAGTTATTCTGATTTGATGTTGCACCAGACCAGTGTGTTCAGTATCTGCTTCTCCACTTGGCAAGATTTTGGAAAATAGAGCTTTGATTTAAATGATGAGGCACTTCCAGCACATGGACAAACTGTGCTTAGTATTTTTACAAACTCTCAACTGCAGGCATTTGGATTTGAAGACGGATCTGAAATGTCCTCGGGATACCGGAGCAGATCACATCATCATACTAACCAAGCACAGAGCTGAGAATATGCTTTATGTCAATCCACTGAGTTTTGTTGACCAAAATTTAAGTAGGCATGTTTATGACACATTTATGTTTATGACTTTTTAGCATTTCCAGCATTAGAAGCTACCTTCATATGTGTTTAATTTGGTTAATGTACAGGATCGATAAAATGAGGCTAAAGTCCTCAAAGGGAGATGTGAGTTGAGACTTTATTTCTTCAATGCAGTGAACAAATCTAAAGGAGTCTCTGATTTTAGCAGCAGCAATTGAAGCCTGGACTTAGCATCAGATCACTCAGGGTCTCTTGGTTAATAAGCAGGGGGCAAGATTCAAGCTCATGTTCATCTACCTGCAAATCTCATATATTTCCCACCACACTCTGCTTGGGTAAGTGAATGAAGCTTTGCTCAGGCTAACACGAAAGCCCACACTCTGAAATGAGAACCTGAAGTGAGAGTCAGAGGCTCAGATGATCTGACACAGCAGGGAAATGTTCAGAGTGTTTATGAAGAAGTGGTGGGAAAGGAGTTATGTGTGGATGTGGGAAGCAGCAAATGCTGTCTTTGTCTGGAGTCTTTCTATAGCTTCTGCTTCTTGGATGATAGACTGGATCAGTGTCTAAATGAGCCCTGTGGCTCAGGAGTTGGTTAGACACAAATAAACAACTCAATTGTCGGAGTCCCATGAACTCCGCAATCACCCCAGCAGGGTGACAAAACATCATTTGCACTTGCATTTATATGCAGCTTTAGTCAACCTTAGTCTTTGCCTGTTCTATGTTAAAGCAGAATATCCTTAAGTACCCTGCTGCTGCTTGATGCAGTGATTCAAAGCGTTGTCCTCACAGAAACGGGCTTAGATACAATTGCTGCCCGCTGCAGTCACTTCGTCCTTGTCTATCCTCTCCTCTTCAGTAGGAGGCGGGTGTCCTAGGACTCTGTTTTGAAGGTTACCTTGTGAGAGATGAACAGAGGAGTTTCTGCCTGGTAAGTGTTTCATTTTAATAAATGTAGGTATTAAAACTAAATGGAGTCTTCTCGCTCTACCTCCAAGGATGAAGTTGGGAGTGAATGGGGCTAAGATAGGTAGAAAGGGAGATAGCAATAGGAGTGAAATAAGGTTCCTGTGTAAGTGGGATGCAGCAAAACTCCAAAGGTAATTCTTAGGGAAAACTAGAGTAGTATTTGCACGTGCTCCAAGCACTCAGCATGTCAATAGTGCCAATGGCGTGATGAATGTTTGATGAACTGAATGAGTTATGCCAGGGTGCGTCCTTACTAAACACGTCAATATCAATGATGCAAAAGACAGACTTTTCTAAAAATGTGCATGTGTGTAAGTGTGTGCGCATGCGTGTGTGCGTGCGTGCGTGCAAGCACACACATCTGGCCCAAACATTCTTTTCTCGTTACTCCACACACTGTGTTCCATATGCCAAGCAATTTTATAAATCCTGACAGCTCCTGTGCTCTTAAATTTCACTTGCTTTGTTCTTGTCTTTCCTTCACTAGCATAAGCAGTCCTCTTGGCCTTTCTTCCTCCTCTTGCTCACCAATATAAACTACAGTGTTGAGGTTTTTTTTTTCCTTTGGAAAAACCTCATTTATCAAAACTGCACCCAAAGTCCATTTGTTAGTTTTTAGAAATCCTTTGGTCATCTGTATTTAAACACCCAAGGCCACGTGGCACTTGCTTGTGTGGCTAATGATCCAGAGGCAACACTGGACCGAAAACTTCTTGGAATCACGTACTATATTTTATTTGTAGTATTCACACCTCCTACAATACAGTCAACATGTTATAGATGAGTAACTCGGCAGCTGAGTTTCTGAAACACTAGAGTTGAGAACAACGGGAAGTGCATTGCTTGAATAAACACTTACTTTGCTGTAGAAGGGAATGTAATTCAGGAACTCCTTGTCCTCAGCCTTGGGCTGGTTGCAGATAAAGGCGTATGACTGCTCACCAACTACCCTTTGTGAAAAGCAGTTGGAAGCGGCACTCTCCTCCACACAACCTTCTGTGGGTGAGCTCACTTCTGTGTCGTGCTTCCTAGGGAGAGAGACATCAAAGCAAGCTGCACTGTGTGTAACCTGAGTGCAGCTGCCTTTTCATGCTCAAGGAAAATTCTCACTCTCTTGTTCTGACTAGAGGTTATGGGTCTTCAGAAATCAGTGTTGGTTTCCTCGGGTAAGGAGCGTGAAGGAAGGGTGGCTGCGCCCCAGTTTGGATGCAGGAGTTCTTTCCATGTGTACTGTGCTTTACACATAGCTCACACTGCCATGACATTGCACCTAGGAGCCCAGGACACCACAGCCAGGGAATGATCTCATCTTCATATTGCCGCTTGTCCCTCCCGCCCGCACCTGGCCTGCTTTCTTCTCTTTCTGTGAAGGTTTCCCCATCCTCCCACACACTGAGCTGCTTTTGGAAAAGTATCCCCTTCTGTCCCCAGAATTAATACCGCCTCTCTGCTCTCTAATTCACTGAGTGCTTCTGTGGCTTCCTCCTTCTGATAGACCAAATGATAAGAAAAATTATTTAGGTTTTCCACTTTTAGATCCTGTCTTGGTTACTTTAATCTCGTTGCTGAGACAAAATACCTGACACCCAGAATTAAGGAAAGGAAGGGTTTATTTAGCTCACAGCTTGTGGAGGTTTCAGTCCATATTTGGCTGGCTCCAAGGCAGGGTGGCCCATGGCATAGGGCAACCATTGATGGTCGCAGAAAACAGCAAAAGCAGCAAGAGCAAAAGGGAGGAGCAGCAACAGCAAGCAGCCTCTTTCCATCCCTTACATTGGATACAAACTATCTGCTCCAGAGCAGGTGTAGAATGCACACTCATAATCAATCATAAGCTCTAGAAGCCTGCCCCAGGACTGCATGTGTCTTTGGGGGGGCACCCAGACACAAACCATAACAGACTCTCACATTCCTCAGGAAATTACTTAACAGATATTTGTGGAAATGAATTAGTTCTTTGTGTAGCAGGTGTGCCCATCAATGCTATTAACGTATCCTAAGAAGTAAAATTTTTGAAAAGTGGTAATATGTTCCATGAGAACAGTAACCATTTCTGGACGCTCTCTAACATGTTTAGAAAAGACATCATAAACCACTTACCCAAAAAAGTAGTTGACAGGATTACCTTTACTGTCTTTAGAACATGTTTAATTTTCCTAAAAAGGCAAAAAGAGATCATGCTATAAAAAGAGGAATTAAGGAACCAGCCAAGATAGTGCACTTCTATATTCCCAGCTCCTTATGAGGCTGAAGCAGGAAAGTTCAAGGCCCCTCTAGGCAATTTAGTGAGACTTTGTCTCCAAAAAAAAAAAAAAAAAAGGAAGAAGAAAGATTAATCAGCAATGTCCTTGATCTGACAACTTTACTCTCTCACTATGGATGATCATTCACTATAGATATAAAAAAATACCACTGAAAGCAATTTATCAAACTGCAAAACTTGAATATTTAAAAATGCACTTATGAAGACTATTTTAAAGGTCCAAAGACACTTCAGTAACACTGAAAACGTGATAAGGAACCAATCGAGGAAGTGAGATGACTCAGGTTTGCTTCAGGGGCAGGCCGTGGTTGCATGTTGTGGAATTTCCTCTGACATAATGTGAGGATGAGGGTGCATCTATTTTCTAGGGTTGAGATGATATAAAAAGGCAGGAGAGCTCTCCCTCCAGCACAAATCCTCAGAGGCAGCAGAGCACAGGAGCTTTGAGCTTCGAGGACAAGAGCCAGCAGGAAACCGAAGAACACACTCACCTGAGTAAACATGACTTCCAAGCTTGCTGTGGCCTTCTTGACAGCCTTCCTCATCTCTGCAGCTCTGTGCGAGGGTAAGCAGTGCTTCTGTCCACAGCGCTCTCCTGCGTCTCACTGTGGCCCTCCCGTGGCGAGGTCATCCTTCATGCATGGACAGTGAGCATCAGGAAGAGAAAATAATCTCTGCAGCTATTTAATGCTAAATTGAAGTTTTATTTTCTTACAAAAGGAAAAAAATTTGATCGTTGTAAATAATTCTGTTCTTAGAATTCTGTTCAATTTAATTCTGTAAATTGAAGAGTATCTTGGTGAGGGCCACAATCACCCAAACTATTTATTAGTATTGAGCAAGAGAACTCAGAACTGAACTCAATTTACTGAGTACTTTCTTGAAAAACCTCAGGTAGCTATCAGTTCCTGTTTGGTTGAAGGATACCCTGATTACAAGACTTTTTTCCCCCTTATGAAGACTTTAGAAGGATTGTGCTTAGAGCAAGCAGTTTTTATATGTTTTCTTTCAAGCACTGAGGGTTTTACAGACGTGTGGCATCTCTGTGGCTGTCACTGATATTCTCCATTAATTCTTTCTGAAGCAATTTGTATGTTGTGAGTATCAGTTTGGCTACAAGAGATAGCATTGTGGTGTTGTAGAGGATTATGTGATACTGAGTAAAAGATAGAGCACAATGGGATAGCCAAATAACGCAGACAATCCCACTCCAGGTGGAACACTATTCTGTGTTTTCAGTGATAATTGTTTTTAGAGCAAAAAGCAAAACAAGTTCAAGGCCTATAGGAAAATATCTGACCTTCGGGGTTGGCGATGGGCTCACTGGAAATGTGAGACTTTCTCCAGTCTCAGATAACTGTGCTGGGATTAAAAAATGAGTCGTTAGCAGAGCCGTGCATGTTGATGGCATCCATCCTTAATCCTTTTCTCTGTCTTGTTTATCACAGGTACTGCTGTGACGAAGTTGACTACGGAGCTCCGATGTCAGTGTGTCAAGATTCACTCCACGCCTTTCCACCCCAAGTTTATCAAAGAATTGAAAGTGATTGAGAGTGGACCACGCTGTGATAAGTCTGAAATCATGTGAGTGTTCTCCAAATGACTAGAAAATTTGCTTTAGCCATCCTAGGACTGAGGAAAGTACAAGTATCCAGGAAAGCCCAAAGCACTAGGAATAGAGTAGTGAGCAAAGCAGGACAGCAATTCTTGCCTACATGACGTTTCCACTTGGTACCATCCGTGCCTCCTTTGGACTTAGATTTTCACACCTACACTTAAAGAACTGTGATTTGATAACAAAACTAAATCCCGACGTTGATGTGAACCATGCTTCTCCTTTCAGAGTGAAACTGCGTGACAACAGACAGCTCTGCCTGGACCCCAAGAAAAAGTGGGTGCAGGAGGTTGTGGCCAAATTCTTGAAGAGGTAAGTTGGTTTGTTTTTTTCTAAATTCAACTTCTTTTGTTGATTCAGAGATGTACAGTCTAAACTTCAGCCTATGCATTTCCTGATGCTCTCAATCTCCCTTAATTAAAAAGAAAATATAGCAGTGACAGTGAATTCGCTGTACTTGTGCTTTGCCCAGGGGAGCTCAGCTTATGCCTGTGTCCTGAGTCATTAGTTAAATTCCCTTTTATTCCCCCAAAACATCCTGCATTAGATGGCAATTGACCTGGTTTCCCATTTACAGTTGAAATGACAGGGCAGTTCTAACGTATGAAAGTCTAAGACTGCATTACTTCTTTAAGGAAATAGATTTTCAAGGTCCCAAATTTCCTCCTTATTGGAACATTAATAATATTCAATTTTTAAATTCTATTGTATCTATTTTCAGGGCTGAGGACCAAGATTCTTAAAAAAAGAAAGCATTCTCCATGACAACCAAGAAAATCAGTGAAGATACCACTGACATTCCAACAAATCTACTTCAGTACTTCCTCTATGCTGCGGATCTGCAGAGAGGTTGCCAGACGCAACGCTGGATGCCCAGTTGAATTTGAATTTCAGAAGGCAATGAACAGCTTTTTTTCATTGTTCCACGCAATACCCAGGACATACATATATTAAAAGTTATTTATTTGAATCTATGACAAATGAAACATCTTGTTTTAAATGTAAGGACATTTTAGATATTGCATGGGACACTGCACAAAGGACAAAATTGAGATCAAGGGCTAGGAGAATAACTGGCTTTCTACTTCAGGAATTGGTTTGCTAGAAATGCGACACTTCAAGCATTAGATGATAGGGCAGCAATGTTTTTTGTAAATTTAATTTCAGCCAGAAAACCCTGACTGTTCCGAGTTAAATCTGCCACCCTAGTTCTACTGGCCAAGACCATGATTCCCTGCTCATCTGCACCTTGGAGCTCCATCTATTCCTCAACTAGGGAAGAAGTATCCGCCACCACCCTTCCTCACCGGATGTTATGGGGACACATGGAAGCACTTTAACTTTTTGCATGATCACGTAAATTATCTTCAAGTGTAACTAGTCATCTATTTATTATTTATGTATTTATTTAAGCATCAAATACTGTAATATTGCTGCATAAATTTGAAAAAACAGAGAAGGAAGAAGTACAGTTGAGAGGGTAGTGTGATGTTATAGTAAATTATTATTTATTTTAGATATTGAATGATACTATATTCGAGAACTTTGGATCAGGCTATCCAGATTTAGCAAAAAAAAAAAAAATACAAATAAAAGGACAACCAGTTAAATTTTTACTTTAATTTAAAAATAATATTTTAATGTATGTTGCTTATCTGAAATTTTAGTTGTGTTGATAATCAGTTTTGATATCCTTGCACTTGTCTAACTTTAAAATGCTTTTACGTTTTCCGAAAGATACTCTCTACTGCTTTTGATACTATGGAAATGAAAATGGAAATATAAAATGTTTAAAATATAATTTACTGTCAAAGTCATCAGGCGTTTGTCTTTCTTTTGTGGATTAAATCTATTAAGGATCTTTGTTTTATATTAAAATCACATTTTGACTTAGAAATCATAAATAGTTATCCCTTAAAATTTTATATATCGTGTTGAAAATTATAAGACTTTATTGTAGAAAAACAAATTTCCTTTCCAATCATGGGTTAAAAACAGTAGTTAATTCCATAGCATGTTGAAATTTTCTCAGTTTTCCACTGTATTTCATTTTACTAATAAAGACGATTTCAGATTTTCAATCAACTAGTCTCTGTGTCTGAATATTTAAACAGCTGGGCATTCAGTTAAAGAAGGAAGACTGTACATTTTATGGGGTGCTTATCAGTAATAGGGAATAAAACTGAAACACCGGAGGAAAAGTTCTTAAAATATGATCAAAGACCAAACATATTTGAAAACAAAAATCTGAAAGTTAAAAATACATTAATTAACTAAATCGTTCAGTGAATGAATGTCGTAATGGACTAGGCACTGCTTCCAGACTTCGTAGACGTGCTCATGTTAAAGATTTGGCAACTGGAAGATTCTCCCGGGTTATCTCTGTTGACCCGATATAATCGCATGGTTTGGAGGGCCGAAAACAGTGACCCGAGGGAACGATGGAAGAGAGGGTTGAAGCGCTACAAGGAAAATGCATGAATCACGCCGGCCAGGTTACTCCACAGGCGGAAAGGTAAGGAGAGGGTCTCTGTCCTAATTCCCTCAGGAGGGACACGGCACACTTAACCCTTCCAGTTAGGGCTTCCGCCCTACAGGACTGGAAGATAGTACATCTGAGCTCCTAGACGCACGAAACATGATGTGTACTGTGCTCTAGCAGGGTTAGGAAGCTAGCATGATTGGCAGCTACCAATTCAAAGGGGTAATAAATAGTTTACACTCAGAACCTCACTGCCTTTGTTAGAAAATAAGAAAAGCAATGGAGAAGCAGGGAAACAATTACCAGAGAGGGTTTACATATGTGGTTTTCAAAAATTAATAAAATTTGAATATATAAAAATTGAAAATTCAAGGAGGAATTATGATTAATGGTATTACATTCAAAACTTAGATTATTGGAAGAAATACCTACCATATTACCTTTCTAAATCTAACTCAAAAATTTTAAATGAGATGTAAAATCTTGTGACAGCTGAACAGATATTAATTAATTCTCTATTAAGAGAAAATAAGGCCAGGCAATTTGCCTTAAGCCATTCCCAGTAATACATTAAAGTTTTTAAAAATATTAAATGAAAATATTTAAAAATTATAATATATCACAATTAAGAAATGCAAAGCTACTTTACTAGTTGAAGATCAATTAATAAAATTATTACAATAAGAGACAGTGAGGGAGAAAAACACTTAATGAACATGGAAGATTCCAATATAACTTGAGCTATGAATTAATATCCATTCATGTTTTAAAAAGAAAAGTGTTAAGAATGAGAGTGACACTTTAAACATTACAACTGATTAGATTATAAACTGATGGCAGAGTAATTCAATGGTAAAATGTTAAATCATAAGATTTAAGATTGGGACAAAACAAGGAATGTATTCTCACTACTTCTATTCAAATTTTTATTGAAGTTTTGCACAGCACAGGGAGATGAGAGTAAAGATTTTCTTTATAAAATTCTGAGTAGGAAGAAACAGGATAAGCCATTCATTAGTAATAAGACTATTAAGACGGAACTTTAAAATACTTAAGGGTAGTTGATTAGACTTAAAGAATTCAACTAAGCATAATTCTCTATACACTAGGAACAAGCAGTTAGAATTACCCTATGTAACTGAATGTTACCATCTAAATCATTAGGGAAGAAATTTAACAATGCCTTGTAAAAACTGTATGAAAAAACTTATGCTTTATTGAAAGACATCAAAAGAGACAATATCATAAAACAAATGCTACTTCTTCCCCAATCAATTTATGAGTCTAATGCAATTTTAATAAACCCCTAACACCTTAGGTATACAACTTGTCAAGATGATTTCAAAATTTGTTTTAAAGTGAAAGACCCAAGGATATCTCAGACATATTTGAATAAAGTATGGAATATTCTAGTAGATATTGAGACTACTAAGCCCCTGGAACCTCCTCGCTTGTCTTTGAGATGGAAGTAGTTATTGTCCTGGATACAAAGAATTAGATGAGGTGGTTCATTGCATTGATACCTAATCAATCGATCTTGCACTGGTAAGGCTTTGAAAGACTGTCAAGAAGACATAACATCTGATGTTTTCGTTAATCAGCTTTAAACAATCTGAGGACCTGAAGTCCTAAAGGGTCACCCATTCCTTTCACACTTAGAGAACATGCTATATGACCTTTTGGGTGAGAAGAGTTCTGTCTTGTTTTCTAGCTAGTTGGTCCCCATTGCAAAGCATTGTTCCTATATCATGTAGCTCCTTTCGGTCACTCTGGGTCCTTGCAGCTGCTAGTCTGTCTGTGGGTTACTGTCACTTGTGTATGGAGCAAAGCTCACTTTCTTTTCTAATTTCAGATGCATGTTAATCATAAGTGTTCATCATAACAGAACTATCAAAAGATTTATGAATGCTGCATCAGCAGGAATCATTTGGAACTCAACTCTAGTATTGATTGTTCAGAAACATTTTAATTGCTTCCTGTTAGAGGCTATTTCTCCTTCCTATATTTCTTTTCAGGCCTAGTTGTGGGGCCCTTATTTCTCCTCAACATTTTGTCTAAATTTCATTTCCATATTTTCCTCTTTCAATCCAAGGGATCTTGTTCCAGCCCCCTGTGCAGTCTCTCATCCTGTAAAGCTCATAGACAAACGAGTAAGGGGGATGACAAAGGAGTAGTTTCAATAAAATAATAGAAAAGGCTCAGGGCTATTTGAAAGCACATCGCCAATGGCTATCTCACACAACCAGCCTGGACTCCCAACAAGAAAATTGAAACTAGATTCAGAATGAGAGTAAGAGCCAGCCACAGGAAGGGAAGAGGGATATGGAAATGTGTAGGAAGATACTGTGTAGGCAGCCGGAGGGACGTCATCTGTAGGTAAGACTGTTATGTGATCAGAGAAGTGAAAGAATTTCAGCAACAGGTATGAAATCTGGTATGAAACAGAACCTTGCTTCGAGGGGTTTAGAATTAGAACTGAAAACTTTCACTGCATGACAAGCAGTTTCATCTCAAATTGTGAGCACTATACGCTATTGCTATTCCACAACTCTTTCCAAAAGGAAGTGGAAAGCCACAAAAACAGTCTAACCTTAGGAGAATTTTAGTGTCAATTGAAAATTGAACCAATGGATTAATCCACAACCTTACAGTCAGGCCTGGTGGCGCACGCCTGTAACCCCAGCACTCCGGGGCTGGGGTGGGAGGAACACTGTGAATTCAGGGCCAGCTAGGGCTGCAAAGTGAGTTCAACCACAGCCTAAATTACATAGTGAGACCCTGTCTCAAAATACCAAAGGAAACAAACAAACCAAAACCATGCTTATGTCTCTTCAATCTAATCAATATCACACCCTGAAAGTATTTTTTTATTTTTTAAAGGCTACAAATCCAGGTATGGCCAGTGTACAGCGGTAGTCCCAGCACTTGGGAGGCTGAGACAGGAGAATCGCTGTGAATTTGAGCCCAGCCTGGGATACTGGGAAGTTCAGGTCCAGCCTGAACTGCATAGTGAGACTTTGTCTCAAACAAATGGACAAAAAAGGGCACCAATTTGAATCTCAGTAAAGAATATTTTTAAAAACTCAGTCCCCAATTTTATCCTTATCACCTTTAAAAATGCCAAGTGAGTTTCTTCATTCACTCTTCTATATTTTCACTGACTGTAACAAAACAAAATACTTCATCAAAAAGGCAATTACACAGATCACATTGGAATTTCAGCATGACGTACTTGTAAGTAACCCAAACAAGGAAAAATAAGAAAGGAAGAGAGAGACTATGAGGCCAAGAATGGGTGAGAAGGAAAAGTTAATTTCTTGAACTGAAAAATGTAGCTCCAATGGTGTGAGAAAAGTTGAGTGTAAATACATGGATTGTATTTGTGTACACACAGACTTAGAAACAAACTTGAGCATGAATGTTACTACCACAGATCTTGATCCACTAAGATGGCCTTTAAATTACAAATTAATTATTCTAAATAGAAGTATTAATGTAAATGTATAAATGCACACAAAACTTGAAAGTATAAAGAGATTCTGATGAAGTGTTTATCTTAAATATTCATTAAATATAAAATACTATAATACATGCATTGCACAAACAACATACAAAAATCAAGTAATTGTGATAATGGCCATATTTTAGTGAGATATGCATTCAGAAATACATGCATTAGTTTATACTACCTAAACAAAATATGCTCAAGATTTTAGTAAGTAGATATTTTAATGTACCTTGGGTCACAAACTTAATTCATTTCGAATGTGGTTGTAGAATTTATTTCATGATTTTGGTTGCAACTGAATGGCAAACCTTAACCCTAACCCTAGCCCTAACCCTCTGAACAGTGGATGTACTACATACATATGTACTATGCTTACAATTTTGTTGCAAACAGAATTGTGGAACTAATTCTGCAGTCAGAATCATAGAAAGAGTTAAGTTCATGAACTGAGGTACCACTGTACACCTGTTTTTCCATCCATGCTATGTTTGAAAACTTCAGGGGAAAGAATGAGAAATTACTTCACCTTTTGCATATCATAGTAAAAATTGCTTAAGAATATATCAACTTTGCAATAACAACAGAAAGCTTTATAAACTGGTAATTTCTCCATCATGCTTTAAAAGTCAATCACACAGCAACTGCCTCAAGTTCGGTTGAACTTATAACAAGTATAGAAAACAAGGGACTTTTCCAAGATAGCTGAATAAACGTTAAGTTAACACCATTCTTCAAAATTAACAGAAGGCACAATCAGGAATTCTCCAAAAGATTACGTAAGGTTCAAATAATCCAACCTTTCTCATCTGTGAAGAAAGGGGGATTTT